AAAAGTCAGAATTCTGAGAAAAAAGTCAGAATTCTGAGAAAAAAGTCAGAATTCTGAGATTAAAGTCCGAATTTTTTCAGTGGCCCTAATCCTCTTCCGTACAAAAGCGTTCATAGTAAAAAATGTAAAGATTCAAATGTGAAAATATTCAATCTTGGTTATTTTCCACAACAAAAATTCAATTTTCTTTCTTTTATCCTCAGTTATTTTTCTTTATTTACGTGAAACAAATGAGAAAACCAGGGAAACATTTAGAAATACCAAGACAAGCCTTTTTATTTAGCAACAACCCGCCTCAATGGTTTGGCAATAATAAAAACAGATCTGTATTTTCTGTGCGTACGCAGATAATGAGGTATGCTGAGCAGAGAATCCCCACACTGAATGAATACTGCATTGTCTGTGATGAACGCCATGTCTTCCAAAATGGGCCCATGCTGAAGGTACGACTCCATACAAAGAACCAGGATGGGGGATGAGCATGTGTGTATTTACTGGAGATTCTGCTTTTCTCAGACTGCTGTTTGCACACGGGAGCTGTGCGTATTTTCCTTTCACACACTCGGAGTTATGTCTGCAGCAACAGAAGAGGTTGCCACCGGTGCAGAGGTCAGCAACGCGTTCAGGTGCTGTTGTAGTGATTATAGAGTTTAGGATCCCACTAATGTCTGCCGTTACAGGTGATTGACCTGCTGGTGGCCATGTGCAGAGCTGCTCTTCTGTCATCACGCAAAAGCATCATATTTGAACCGTATCCCTCCGTTGTTGACCCATGCAACCCCAAAACTCTGGCCTTCAATCCTAAGGTGAGCTTCTAACCTCATTTTCTAAGAAACTGTAACATTTTTACCCATATATTAAATTACCATTGCTTTTTGTGACAGAGAAAGAGCTTTAAACGGCTGCAGAAAGCTCTGGATGGCGTGCTGCTAGTCAGGAAGATGGCTCAGGTGACTTAATATAAAAAAAATAAATAAAAAACATTAACATGTTTTTGTCCTGCGTACTTATGAGGCGCAGTTTATAAAGTTAAGCAGACAAAAATTAAGAGAAATATTTATGGTTATTTAGCGTGTTTTAAGAGAAAAATAAGGAGTTTATTTTATTCCAAGCCGTTTTTTCACTATGTCAATCATTCATTTATAAAAAAATCTTACTTTGTTAAATAAATATTTAATTTGCAAATTAAATACCGGTATTTAGTTTTTTGAAATAAATATTTAGCTCCAAACTAAATATTTATTTTGGAGCTAAACATTTATTTAACAAACTACTTTGGGAAAACGATCTAGAAACAAGTTAAAATTTCCTTAATTAAGTGTATTTACCCTTAATTTGAGCAGGTTAATTAGATATTTTGCCAATGGAATGAGTATTTTTACCCTTAAAATAAGATATTTAGATAATATGCAATTAAAATAAGACAATGCAATAGTGTTCTTATTTTAAGGGTAAGTTGTCTTGTTCCATTGGCCTTGTCTCTTTTTACCTCCTCAATCCAAGAAAAAATCCACTTATTTGAAGAAAAAAATGATTTTTTTCCAGTATAAATGTTTAGTTTGTTAAATAATATATTTAGTTTGGAGCTAAATATTTATATAACAAACAAAATATTTAGTTTTTTAAATAAA